TCATGCTCAGCATATAAAGCTGGGGGGAGAAGAAGGAAGGGGGGGATGTTCAGAGTGATGGCGTCTGTCTTCCCAAGTCACCGTTACGTGTGATGGAGCCCTGCTTTCCTGGAGATGGCTGAACACCTGCCTGCCGATGGGAAGCAGTGAATGAATTCCTTGTTCTGCTTTGCTTGCGTGCGCAGCTTTTGCTTTCCCTATGAAACTGTCTTTATCTCAACCCATGAGTTTTTTCACTTTTACCCTTCTGATTCTCTCCCCCATCCCACCAGCGGAGAGTGAGGGAGCAGCTGTGTGGTGCTTTGTTGCTGGCTGGGGTTAAACAATGACACTGATATATAGCACAGTAAATGCAGTTAAGTTATACTCATCCAATATTTTAAAAAATTCAGGAAGTCCAGCCCCAAACCTTATTTACATTTTCTCACCAAAGTAAAACCGGTATTCCACTTACAGTGCAGAGCAATTCATCTACTAGCTAAACTTGTCTCGTAAGTGCATATTATTCAATGTTGACTAAGAAAAAAGGTAAGGTTCCAGAAAACCCTTTTTCTTATGTATGCTTGCTGTTACCAGTATTTTTCCCAGAGTATATCCAGCTATTTAAAAACAAAACATAACAAAAGACCCCCAACTGTACCTGAAAGACCCTGATTGGGAGACTTCATTCTTTGTTTTTCTATTTTACTTCCAGCCAGATTTACAAGTTGAGCCCAAATGGATAGCATAGGTTCAGTGAAAGGCAAGTTGTTCACATTAAAAGCCACAACTGGAAGCTAGACAGTGAGGGAAGAACCAGACAAAAAAAACAAACAAACAAAAAAAAACAACCAGATAAGCATTTTCCAAAATTTTACAAAATCATTCAAAAGTTTCAATGGTTATTAACTGGAGAAAAGTAGCATTTGTCTTATTGATCTTGACCAAGAACAACTGGAGACGATTTCTATTCCCTACACAGCTCCTAAGCCTGTATTTGTACCACACAATTGCAGGTCTACTTGGTGAAAAAGCAAGATGGAGTCAGAGCAAGGAAGAACTGCAGTCCCTGAAGCAGACCACTCACTTTGACTGTGCTTTCACTAAAGCCATATTAACCAACTTGAGATTAAGATTCAAATGAAAACACTCAAGAGTTTCTGCATTAGTTAGCAAATCAAGTTAAATACAAATGAATAAGCTCCTCTCATGTAAGAGCTATAAATCACATTGTTATGACTTGGGATTTTACCTCAAGTGAAAGGACTTCAGTCAAATCCCTTCTCCTTTCACCTCCTCAACAAATGAGGATGGGCATTAAAGGCCCTATAGAGGTTCGCATGAGTACCATCTTAGATTTGCATTCAGAGCACTGTATGTGTTGAATGTCAATATATTTGCCCAATGAAGAACAAGTTATTTTCTTTGCACCGTATCAGAGTCTTTAACCATACCCTTCCCTGTATTAAAGCCTCAATAAAACAAACTTACTGGTTTTAGCTGATTCAGAGGGCACACTCTACATGTTCGCATGTCATAGAACTGTACAGTGATTTTCCCTTTTGGGGTAATGCGTGTCACTGTGCCTTCTCCAAATTCATCATGAACTACTTGTCCACCCAGTCTCAAGCGACTGTCTATGCCACCAATCACTGCTAACACTGCCATTAGGCCTCCCACCTCTGGATTCTCAGTGTCAGGAAAGTAGTCATCCAACAGAGCCTAACAAAGAACAATAAAATTAACTGTAGGGAGAAAACATACACTTCTATCTGCTTTAAAATACAAAGTTAATCACACATATTTCAACTTAAAAATTACAACACATAAATATATATATAAAAATATAAAAATGGTTTCAAAATTAAGCTTAATATTGTTTACAAACATTTAATATTTAGAATTTCAAAATAAATATTGCTATAAAAATGAGCTTATTTTAAAACGTGGAAACTACCCCTTCTGACTGTTTTCCTGCAAAGATGTGGGTGATGGAGGTTAGCTGAGAGTTGATGTACTTGTTTATGAGTCCATTCCACTGGCTGAGCGAATGGAGCGTCCTCAGCAGTGCCACTATCTCTTCTGCTAAAGTACTACTGTGAGTGGCAGTTAGAGATGCTTGGGGCCTGGCCTTTCTCCTTCTCAGAGTAGATTCTGGAAAGACAAAGCAATTGCACGGCAGTTATCAATTTAACACACACATTTTCTATACATAAAAACAAGACACTGAGGAAAAATTCCTCTACCTCTGAGTAGTGGGATATCTGAAGAACAAGTACTAAGCAGGCTGCCTAAAAATCCAAACAGTTTTTCCACAAGAAATTTCATGTCTCTTGACCTTTCATTTTTATCCCAGGATGGAAGTACTGCTTTCAATAAATGTACAGCAAGGATCTAAAAAGAGAACAAAATTAGTGTTATTCCATTCTAAGTCACCAAATATTAAAGACATTCTCAAACATATTAAGTATAGAAGAAAGACATTTTAAAAGTTAGCCTTCCTTTGTAGTTCTTTCTATAATGCTGATTTCTTTCCGGCTGTGGAAATTACAGAGCTACTGATCTTCTGTTCAGTTTGCTAAGGAATATTTTAAAAGAAGATGTGCCAGTTCAAAGTCAGTAACAATTTTATTGGCACATTATATTAGTGAATCCAACCTCTTCAATACTCAGGACATGAGACAAACGCACACTGGGAAACGATGTAAATGACTGAAACACATAGGAAAAATAGGAATACAGAATGGGAATACAGATTCCAGACTCAGAACTTAGTACTAAGATGTATTTCAGCATGAAAGTTTCCAAGTGTTCTGCAATGAAGGTATGGTAATTAAAAATCATGAGATATAAAGCTGAATGATACAAGAAAGCAAAAAGCAACCACAGTGACACCCAAAAGCAGTTACTGTGAAACTAAGGCCTCCAACACAGTACAGAAGGAACAGGCTGGCATCTCTAAACCTAGACATTCAGTGCAGGACTGACAAGGAACACGGGAAGGCGCAGCGCTGCAGTATCAAAGAGCAGATGGGGTTGCACATTCTGAACAGGAGTATTTCAGGTTTTGAGCTTCCGCATCCTCTACCCAGAAGACCAATACAACACAAGTGACCAGTAATGGTGAAGAGGGATCTCTTTTTGTAAACCTCTGTCAGTAACACATCTTTCTAAAACTTCAAGGTCTTGTCTTTTTCCTGTTACTAAGTTCGACGCTGGTACATAAGGAATGCTCATTTCTCGAGTATTCCCTGAACAGCACAGATGACTAATGCACTACATCAGAAGTCTCATCATATTAAGAATACTGGCAAAAATTTGCTGGAAGATCACACAAAAATGCACAGGCCTTTATGATACAAGGCTTTAGTTAAAAAAAGCTGATGCCTTATCAAGGAAAAGATTAAGAAAATCTTTTGATCCCTGAGCCTTAAAACTTGGAAGAGTTATTCCAT